GCCTGCTTCCTGGCGCTCTCCTTGCCGCTCCAGCGACGCAAACGAGAAAACCCCTAGCAGATCCGGAGTCCTGCTTGGCACCTCCTCATGTCCGACCACAAGAACCACCATGGAGTCAGGATTTCCCCTTCCCAGGGGACGGGAGAAGCGCGCCTACGGGGCCGCGTCCCTCGCCAGCCTAAGCGTGCCGCCAGGCCGATTCGCACCGGCTTCGCATCTTTTCACGGAAAAGCCAGGCAAGTAGTTGTGCGCATGCAGCAATCTCAGAGGCGTGGGGAGGTCGGGGGGGCCCTTCCTGAGCTTCCCTTAGTTTTGTTTCCATTTTGGTGGTCAAATTTGGATGGGGAAACTGCCTAGATGCACAGAGCCTTGGTGCCCATGCAAAAACGCCTCCCGTTCGTAGCTGCAAACGTGGCCGAGACGGATGTTCTCTCAAGCTGCGGTTCTGCGTATCAGCAATCCTCCCTGCCCGTCCGAGATTACAGCCCGCGCTCCTCCTCCCGTTCGCCTTCCAGAGGTTTCCTCCTGTGCCAGCAAAGCCTGGTTCCAACTGGCCACTTGGAAAAACTAGTCCTGGAAGCAGCGACCTACCTTCCACCGACCTGCCGGCACCTGGAGCATCTAATTCATGCTGCCAAGAACGAAAGCTCAGTGCTCTAACAGAAAACAACCTTCTCTCTCCAGAGCTGCGTCATAAGCCTAAAACGCTGACAAAGGTAGTTAGATTACACCTGTATAAACAGGCTCGAACCAAAGACATGCTGCATAAACACCCGCTTTCAAAACAGAGCTCCGTACCTCGGATGAGTACGAAGCACGTTTATTTATCTGTGGGCGAGCTTGCTGCTGATTTACTCCATAACTCCTTAAATAGCGGCACTGCCTGCCTTTCCCTTCTCCTCTCCTGCGAGAGCTGGGGTGGCACCGACAAACCCTCTCGCTGACAATCTCACAAAGACTTATAAACTGTGAGCTGTCAGCAGCCGAGACAATCGAGCTCCTCGTCCCCTTTCAGGTGACCTTTAATGCAAATCCACCCAACGGAAAGGTTCTCGCAGCTAACGTGTGACGCCGGCGCTAAGAGGATGAAGTCTCCAAGAAGCTGAAATCTTTTTGATGCTGCCAAGTCTATTTGACTCGTTTCCCTGCCCTTCCGTTCTTTGAAAGCAGTTGCCATTATGACACAGTATCTCCATCTGGCAGGGTGAATAAGCAGATCCACCCAGAACCATCAAAAACGAGTGAGTCAATGCTAGAGAGTTAAAGAAATATTGTGAGATTTTCTTTCAAGCTCAAGGGATTGCTTTTAAATAGCTCCCTTTAAGGTATTAAAACCAAGGCAGTCCCATAAACACAGTGGAGCCTGCAGATCTCCTATTCCTATCACCCTGCTCAGCCAGCCAGTTACTCCTTTTCACCGATATACATCACTACATACACCGATCTCAGCGATGCCGCTCCCATCTCTGTACAGGAGGAGATTAGTTGGGCTTGGAGCACACCCAAAACCATCTCCCAGTTTTTCAAAGCTTAATGGCTATTCCATGCCCTTCTGCATGCGCAAAACAGCTGCAGCTTCCACGTCTGGCCTGCCAAAGAAAGCAACAGGTACCGGTCCCACGTAGCGGCAGCCCTTCCCCAGACTCTCCTGGGGAACATTATGCGGACAGAGCGGGGCGAAGCAGATGGAGTAATTTGAGGCAGGCAACACGGCAAAGCTCCCCGCTTGCTCTCACACCAGAGGCACTGTGACTTGGGCTGCAGCCTCTGCTCTCTGCACCCAGAGAGGGCTGTCCCTGAAAGCCCTCGCTTTGGTAAGAGAAAAGTCCAGAGCGTCCTGCCTCTGGTCCAAAATGCAAAAATCCAGTCCCTTCTTTAGCGTGCCGTTGCTGCGGGAAGAGCAGGAAATCAGATGTCTGCAGTGGTTTATTTAGGTGTGGCGAAAGAGGAGAAAATATGGGAATGCAATGAGTGGTAGATACTCTGCTTGCAAGCTCGCAGGCCTTAGAGACTAGCGAAGGCTAGTGAGTCCTGCAGCTCCTCGATTTCCCCAAACCAGAAAAGTTTCACATCTAACCCCACTGGTTTCGGAAAAAACTCGGGCTTTGAATCTCACGGGCATCTTTCTTTTCTGGCAGCTAATCCAAGCCTTACTGTCGGAGGCTCCTGCTTTCAAATCAAGGTCGTTTTTAGTCCCAGTAATCGCAGTGTCACTACAGCAACACCATCGTGTTATACAAAGAAAGCTAATCTAGATTCTGAGCATTCAATATATTAAATAATTACAGACAACAACATTTGATGATGTCTGATTGGCGCTCGTGCTCCCGCTGTCAGGTTTATTCTGTGTCATGGGACTTCCAACAGGAGCAAACCTTGGGCAGATCGAGTCCACCGATGCTGCGAGACTTCTCCCGCAGCTATTACAGGTGCAACCAAGGAGGCCCCGTGTCTTCGGTGCTGGGCTACGTACCTGGATACACGTCCCAGTGCACTCCTTGCAGAGACTGCAGGACAGAGCCCATCTGCTTGCGGGGATGTGGGAGATCTTCGTTATGGGTTCCATCTTTTCAGGACATCCAATGCTAACCTGGTCACAAAGTAGAGGACACGTTGTCAATACCAGTTACTAGCATAAACCTCCTACAGGGGAACGTCTGTGGCAGCCAGAACGAGGGATGTTATTTTGCAGGGTCACTTGTAATTTGAAGGAAAAAAAAAATAATTCAAAAAACCAAAACCCAAAGCAAATATGAATGAAATGGAAGGAAAAATTTATGTTGGTGGACAATAGTGCTGCCTCCTCTGGATTAATCTGTCATTTGGACACTGCTAAACATCTCAGCTGGGCACATAAAAATTAGCCTTATCCGGCCCAGGTAGGTCCTGTGAACGTCCTTCAGCCCTGTGCAGGAGCTCGGGGCCCCATGCTCGCCCCCGGCCCCAGCCGTCCTTCTCTCCGCACAGCTCCAGGGATGCTGGCGAGCAGGACAAGCGCTGCCGCCTTTCTTACACATTCACTTGTCTCCTAATTTTGGGTTCAGACAGCTCTGGGGGACTCGGGAGCTGAACTTCTCCAGCTCCTTCGGCAACAGCCGGCCCGGGTCCATACCCACCGGCTCAGGGCTCAGCCCCGCTGACGACGGCCACGTCCCTCCACGCGCTGGGCCCTCCCACCCCCCAAAAGCAGGCTGGAGAGCATCTTACTTCAGGTATCCATAAGGCACAGCTAACGTGGACTTCGCCCGGCTGGGGGTGGGTTTGAGGGCTCCTCGTCTCGTGGGGCACAGCAGACACTTCGGCTGGACTCCCAGGGCGCAGGTCCGGCACAGCCAGCTCCCGATGGGGACCTTCAGGATGCCGTAGCACGCCTGCGCGAACACGAGCACGGCTGCATTTCTTCCAGGCTGTGCTTCCCCAGAAAAGTACTGTCCCGCTGCAGGCCTGGACCGATCCGTTTAAGTTCTTCCTCCCTTGCTACTTTATTTTCCCATGCATACTCATGCTGTATCAATATGTCCTGATTTTTTAATTAAAACCCAAGCACACCAACGTGCTTTGCACCATGCCAAGCAGCAGCGTAGGCTTTCCAAAGCTGCCCCGCAACGCGCAGCCGGTGCCAGGCCGAGGAACGGCAACGATTCGCAGCCCTCCCGCTCTCGGCGCAATGCGATGCAATGACAGAGAGGCACAAGGTCCTCGTTAGCAGCATACTGAACGCACGAGATGTTGAAAGATAATATAATGGCGGGTGGGAACACAAACGTGCATTTAATTGACTTGTCCCACGTGGCATGAAAAGGATGAAATGCCGCGCTGAGAAAACCGCTTAGGTAAATCGGGGCTGAAAAGCCACAATCCCATGATTGAGAAAGATAGCCACATTGGTTAAAAAACCAACCGAGATTGAAGGGGAAGTGAAAGCAACTATATAAAGGTAGAAATGAGTGAATATAAATCAGAAGCTAGGCACCCGAAAGAACCGATGAAGCAATCTAAGGACACGAGGACAAATCTATGGCCGAGAGCGCTAGAAAAGGCTCCTGCAGGGCCCTGGGAAGAAACGCACTGCCGGCTACGGGGCGCCTCTGCTTTGGAGCTCCCGGACCTGCCCGGGACAACGCAGAAGGCAGCAAAGCAGAAGTGCTTAATAAATATTTCTCTTCCATTCTTGAGGAAGAGCCAAACGATAAGCCGTATCACGCAATGACGATGATAAAATGCTTTCCACTTCAGCACTAACTTACAAGCCGATTACATCGCTACCACTAAGAGCAGACAGTTTTTAACCAGTTGTTAACCCAATAGCCTGCGCTTTCTTTTGCCCTGCAGTGTAAGTTGCCTCTGGCAGTGGTTTCTGAGGGGGAAAAGACCATTTGTGACCAGATCGTTATGATAATCAAGAATTAAAGAAGGTAATATTGTTGCTGCCAGTCTATACGGGTTCACGGAGAAACCAAATGGAGTCTATATGGGTTCAAACTTTGCCGGGTTTCACGGAGAAACCAAATTTGACTGATGAACCATTTCTGCAGGAGAGTATTGTAAAACATCCTCCCTGGCAGCCAGTGACCCCAAAGATGAGATCGAGTATTAGCCAAATGTGATCTCCCCGGCAAACGCTAGGCAGCGGTGCTCCTCGAACACGCAAGCGGAGCAGTGCCGAGTAGGAGTGCAGCAGTTATTTTTATCGCTGCGCTTGTCACGGGTGCAACATCACCGGGAAACGGTAAGCCGGGCTGCTGCCGGCGCTCGGAGGGGAGGCCAGCGAACCGGGGAGGACCCAGAAGAGCCACAGAAACGCTCGGCGTAGCTGCCGTAACAGGGAGAAGGTCCAGCCACGGCCTTGTCGCGGGGAACGGAAACTTGGTGGCTCTGGGACCAAGACTTAGGGGCTGAAAGTTGGAGATGGGTAATTTTCATGCTACACAGAAGCGCAGCGTTTTCGCCGTGAGAATAATGAACCAGAACAGTTCAACAGCCGGAGCGGGGCGGGGGGAAGATTCTTCCTTGCTGAAAATTTTAAAATTGAGATTGCATGTGTTTGCTAAGAGATATGCTTCGTAGGAATTAATTAATAGCAAGTCTCACGGCTTGTGTTATGCAGATTAGACGATTACAGTGATCCCTCCCGGCGTTGTAAACCAGGAACGTATGTCTCAGCACGGCCCTTTCTCCCGTCCCTTCTCCGCTCAGAAAGTTGCATCTGCTCAGCAGAACGATGCAGCCGGCGCTGAGCAGCAGCAGAACTCGCAACGCGTCCTGCATCCCGCGTCTCCCGGGTGGGGCGAGGGCTCGCTCGCAGGCCAGCGCGCGAGCCATCCAAATCACATTAGAGCCTGCCCAGAAAATCCAGTACCCCGTCTCTCGGGTCCGTGCCCGTTCGGGCTGGAAGCACCTCGGAAACATTCAAGAGGGCAGAAGCGCCAGCTCCCGAGGAAGGAGGAGTTCCCTCGCCCCGCAGCCTCGCGCTCCCGCGGGCGGCCAACGCCGGGGCGGGCAACGCCGGGGGCAATTCCCGCGCCCGCCCGGGCGCGCCCCTGGCGG